CCCTTTTTTTTTTTTTTTTTTACCCTCTGATGGGGTTTATACATATTACCCTCTGATGGGGTTTATACAGATAATTCCGAAAGATAAGGAAAATAAATTACATCATTCTGGTACGGTATTTATTCCTTGCTTTTGCTTGTGATTTTCTACTGCACTCTCTCTGTCTCTTCACCTAGCAGACAGAAGGAATAATAATAGGAAAATCTTTTACTTTTCTTCTTTTCTCTTTTCTTTTTTTTTTCTTTTCACTTTTGCTTTGCTCTTTTTCTTTTTCTCTGCCGCATGGTTTTTTGCTTTCTCCGTTTGCTGCACTTCTCTATCTCTTCACCTGGCAGATAAAAAGAATCATAATAATAGGCTTATCTTTTGCTTTTTCTTGATCTCTTTCCCCTGCCTCTTTCTGTAATTTTGAGTGGGTCTCTCAAATCTAATGGCGATCTGTTTTGCTCCTCTATCCATCTCATTCGCAGGTAGTGGATGCCAGCTGAAAGCGCGTGAGGTTTTGTGGTGTTTTCCAAGGCCCAAACCCAAAGGAAACATTTTCACCTGCGAACCAATCGCAATTTCGTCGTTCGTGCTGAGTACAGTGACGACATTAGAGGCGGCGGCGGCGGTGCTGATTTGGTCACTGGTTCCCGTCACTGACAGCAACTTTAGGCCCAAACACATGACTGATTACGGTTTCCAGGTTGTGGGTATCCTTGATTGGGATTGTTCCACTGATTTGGGCTTCTGGGTGGCTGAAAATTAGGGCTCGGAGGAGGAGGATTCACCTGGTTATAGGAATGATGCTCTCCATCTGAAGAGGTGAGGAATGCCAAACGAAGTAGACCCTCTCTTCCAAGCCGTCGACGAGACCCTCGAGCACTGCGGCGAGACGGAGTGGGACCTCTGGTGCTCTCACCTCTAGGTTGAATTTGCGGCGGATGGCAGTGAATATGGCAAGCAGTGATTTGCTAACGTCCCAGGAGCAGATCCAAGTCTCTCCGCATTGCTTCCATATAACACACAAGGAGCCACACTTCCCAAAAAAACTTCAAGATCGCTGCTACAGGATTCATCACTACGGCCAAGACAAGCAAGGATGCTGGAGTTTGTGTGACAGTTTCCTGATCCTGACAGACTCTGTCTGTTTGCGAGTCGACTCGGACTCGGCTCGGAAAAGAAGAACTCAGTCTCAGCCGTCTCGAACGAGATCATGTTCTCCGATTCCTTGCTATCACCGTCCACGTTAGCAGCCGCCTCAGACTGGTGACTCAGCGATGACTCCTGACTTATCGATCGGTTGAATTTGTCGGCAAAGCAGCCAGTCCAACTAGTGAACAGTGTACCCATCTGCCCCGTTTTCATATGCGATTTGAGAGAGAGAGATAGGCTGTGACTATTTTTCTGTGTGGGTTAGTGATAGGAGAGAGAAAGAATGAATGTGACTATGTTTCCATCGATTTTGCAGTGACTATGCATGTTCGGTTCTTGGGTTTCTGCAGATTTTGCAGATCTACGGCGGAAGTGAAAAAATGAAAGAGAACCGACACAACTTTTCTTATCGATTCCCACAGAAGGCGTCAAATGTTGATGCACAAAATCGGAGGTCTTGGAACAACATAAACCCGGCTGTGAATCTGCATGAAATGTAAATAACACAAGGAGTATTGTGGTTCACCCCAAGGTTTGGGCTACGTCCACACTGATTGTATTTATCTGAGAGTATTTGTGAGAGAGAGAGTGTGAGAGCTTTGCCCTAGATATGAGAGGCTTAGGGTTTATGAGGGTGATGATGCCCTTTTATAGAATAAGGGCTCCTCCCCTAATTACATATTTGCCCATTCATTTATTACATAATTACATTTAAATCCCTTGAGTATTTATACGATATCTAAATACGAGGTCCTAAATATGGTATAAACAAATTTCATTCTGAATATCCGATCACCCGAATCTAACAAGAAACTAGAAAAACCTTATTCGTTAGAGAGAGAGAAACAAAATGGGCATAAATGAGATTAGAAAATATCTAATATATATTACTTGCAAAGTTATCGGCAACATTGCTGCAGCCAAAGAAAAGCTCTGATTTCCTTGTACTCCATAAATGTAGACCTGAACTTCCCCCACTCTCCTAAAAACACTAATGAATTGTTCTCGAGACGGAAAAAAACCCTAATCATCTTGTTCTTGATCCATATATACACTAATGAATTGTCTCCCAGTGGCACTCAAATTCAAACCCACTTTTGTCATCTCCAAAAACTTTACAGAGTTTGAAGATTGTTTTGGAGCAACTAGAGATAATGGAGCTATATACTTCCATGCAGCACTGTTTCAATCATTGTATGATCATCTATGAACTGGGATTTTCGAGATAATGACTGAAAGGATAATCTTTTGGGATGTGATATTCACACACCTGATTTTACTTTTCACACATCTTTCTAATTTTCGACCGTCAGATCGGATGAACTAAAGAAAATCAACAGATAAATATTAACGAATGATGTGTAAATATCACACATTGGGGAATTGAACGCACGACGTTGGATACTAGTGTAAATGTTCATAACAACTTAAACTACAAGCACATTGGAATTGGAGCTATACTTCCATGCAACGTTATTTCAATCATTACAACACCACCACTTTTTTGTTCGTAATGAGGGAGAGATAGAATGGAGTTCTTCACGAAGTTCGAGACAAAGGAATAAAAAAGAGTTTCCATCAGATTATTTCAAAATAGGATTTTGAGATAATGACTCAAAGGATAATCTTTTTTATACGAACCATATTGAAGAATGGAAGAATCAAACACACGACTTCAATGCAAGAGTGATAATTTCAACTCCAGCCACATTGGAAAGGGATATTCAAAATGTTGTAATATAGTCACTTTGTACTACGATCTAATGATATTTCTCTTCATTTGTAAGTGAGAGATTTTATGTTCAATTCTCACAAAAGTTGAATTTGAACCACATTATTGTTATTTCATTGTGAAGATAAGCCCACCTCATCTACCTTAATATAGATAATATCATTTGTTAAAAAAAAATACAATAGTATAATATCATTGTCTTTCTTTATCTTGAGTGCTTGAAGTTCGAATATTGTTTTCTTTTTTTCATAAATTATCATTTATAAAATTTCAATTCAGAATCTCTCAAAAGAAAGTAAAAACTCAATGTCACCGGAGATATGTTCATTCGTTGTCCTTGAAATTTGAACGTTGTGAGTACATGGGTAGAGGCAACTAGGTGTTTTTTTTTTTTGGGGGGGGGGGGGGGGGGGTTGTCCTTGAAATTTGAACGTTGTAAGTACATGGGTAAAGGCAACTAGGTGTTTTTTTTGGTGTTTTTGGGGGGGGGGGGGATCAAAGTCATGATTACAATGAAAACGCTCATGTTTTCTTGATTGCGGTTTCCTATAAAAAGGTGAACTTGATAAAGGGGTAAAGGGAAGCAGATTGAAGATGGAGTGCGATTGATGGGACATGGTGCTGAACAGATCCAATGGCAAATTCATCTGGAGCAAACAAGCAGGTGGAAAAAAAATTCAAAGGCAACAAGAAATGAACCCAAAGTAGACCAATAAACACTCAAAAGTTTTACTATATTTTTAGCTTTAATTAACCCCAAATTTGAAATCAAATTATGGAAACAACACAGGAAGCAAAACCGAATTCATCATCTCTCTACCAAAAGATGCAGAAACAGGTGTACCAAGCAGCAATTTAACTAATGAAAACAAGCATATTTAATAAAACCCGATTCATAACTTTTGACTATTGGCCAATTTCCCCCCTCAACTTTAATTTTGGCCAATTTCCCCCCTCAACTCTCATAATTAGTCAATTTCCCACCTCAACTTTAATTTGGCCAATTTCCCCCCTCAACTCTCGTAATTAGTCAATTTGCACCCTACTGTTAATTTTTTAATTTGATCATAATTAAACAAGTGTGTGTAAGAAGCTAAATAAGATGTATGTTAATCACTTTCCTATGTCTTTATCCTATTACAAATAGATTAAACTTTAGAATTTTACAATTTATCATAGATAGTATTATTAGTCATAATAAATCAGTATGGAGTAATTTTATTTGATTTTTTACTATACAAAATTGATAACGAAAAGGATTGATGTGTACATTTTTGTATGTGAATACAATTTTCTTTATAAAAGTGAAAGCTAAGTTCAAGTAAATTGCGGAGACTCGAGCTTTAGTGCAAAAATGGCTAGTCAATTCATAATTTTCGACTCCTTATTAAGAATAACCCATTTTATTGAAATAGGTCTGATCCATGAGTTTATGATTATTATTTCTTCTTCTACATGCTTTAAACCCGATTCATAACTTTTTCTTATAATCAACCCATATCACATACTAATTGTATTATGTTTTTGTACATTTTACCCTATATTATGCAGGTGAGTTTATGTTAATTTTAGTACTTTGTTGGAAGTTATTAGAAAGGTTGAAAGAAAAAAAAAAGAATAGATGGAAAATTAAAAAAAAAAATTAACATTAGGGTGCAAATTGACTAATTCTGAGAGTTGAGTGGGGAAATTGGCCAAATTAAAGTTGAGGGGGGAAATTGACTAATTATGATAGTTGAGGGGGGAAATTAGCCAAAATTAAAGTTGATGGGGGAAATTGACCAATGATCACAAGTTCAGGGGGGGAATTGATGAATACCTCTTCACAAAATTATCTATTCTAAAATTGAGGAATGAATGGACTGTGGCTTAGCTACAGTCAATTGTTTGCCATTCGATTTCATGCTATTTACCACAATGCCACAACCAAATGAGCTGGTTGGGAGGGAAATTATCAAAAGGTATGAGGGTACTTTTGTCTATGAACATATTTCGAAATATTTACGGTTTTACCAGTCTATTATAAAATGGGCCTCGATTTTGCATTATTTACATTTCAGCCATGGAGGGATTTCGGGGAGAGAGGCGTGAGATGGCAGAAGAGGGAGGGGAAGGGAGAAATAGGAGTGAGGCTGCCAAACAATGGGGTTAGGCTGGATTTCTCCTCCTCAAATCAAGGGTTGGTGTCGATGATAGAAAGATTGAGAGGGATGGGAGAGACCCATTTGGCCTTCATTTTCCCCTTTCTCTCTCTCGGTCTCTCCTCCACCATACTCAATCCTTTGCTTCTCATCCGTGTGCCTCTAGATTCGATCTTCTTTTTCTGTTCCTCTCTTGGCACGCGTCCATCATTGTTGCCGTTTCTATTTCAGTTCTCTGCTTTCCATTTCTTCTCTCTCTCCCTCTTCTCAGTGTTTTGCAAGCTTTTCTCCCTGTCTCTTTGTCGCCATGGTCTCCATTGCTCTCAAACTTTCGTTTCTATCCTGTCAAATCTTGGCTCACTGGAAAAATCCGAAGCAGTTTAAGCTTCTTTAGCTTTTTGATTTGGATTGAAGATGATTTTAAGCCAAAAAGGTTAATGTTTTCTGGTAAGTTCTTTGAAGCCTACATCTCGAAGGTTTTTTTTTCTTTTTTTTTTTCCAAATCTATGGGTTGTGTTTTCTTCAATTTTAAAATATTAAAAATTGAATCTTTTTTTTTTTGGGTAATATTTTTAGTTAGATTATGCTATGGGTTCTGATGAGGCTTTGAATTGGGTTTGAGAGTTTTGATTTAATGAGAGAGATCAGGAGTATACACGGAGACAGGGAGGTAGGTCATTTGAAGAAATGGAGATTAGGGTGAGAGAAAAACGGAGAGAAGGGGTAGCAGATTAAATTTTGATTTTATAATTTTGGGTGTTTTGTGTTTAAATTTTGCGTTTGTAATTTTAGGATTTTGTGTGTGCGCTTAGATATGATTTAGTTTTCAATTTCAAGAAACTGTGGTGTTGCAATTTTGGGGCTTTCGTGTGCAACCTTGGAACCACTTTGTGCTCAAGGTATATAAAAGGTATGAAACCCCTGGCGTTTGCTGATGAGTGTTTTTTTTTTTTTTTACTTTCTTAGTATGGCCTTTAAATTTTTTTGGTAGTTTCTATAGATATAGCCTACAAATGTTGACCCGAAGGTTGGACATAATCATTACTTCCTATTACAATTTATTAACGTTAATTCACTTAACTAAAGTTGATTGGAATCGGATGATGATCGAGATATTTGCATAGGTGAGAGAATCTCGCTGACAGTTTTCGATATTCAGATGGGATTTGTGTATGAATTTTGTTTTTGTAATTTTGTGTTTTGTTTATATCGTTAGATTCGTTGTCTGGGCGTATGATTTGCTTCTGTTTTTCGTTTTAGGAGACGTTACTCTTCATTGTTTGGGGCTTTTGTGTGAAGCTTTTGAAGCCCTTTGTGCTCAAGGTAAATAATTTTGGTTTTTTCCTTTTGAGGCTTTTGTGGAACAATTTTTTTTTTTTTTTTTTTTTTTTTTTTTTGTAACATTGTGAAAGTTGATTGTTTGAGAAACTAAGTAATTGTGTATTTGTTTGTAGTTATGGTATGAGACGTTATATAAATTGAACAGGGTGAGGTACGGTATTTAGGTATCACAACAATTGATTGTGAAAAACTACTAACAAACTACATTTGAAACATTCTTTCATTTATGTTATATGTGGTGGTTCCAAGCTTGAGTTCTTTTTCCTTGCAGCCTTCTGTTAACCAATATGGGTCTATTCATTATGGTAATGCTACAAATGGATAAATCACATCAGAGCGTCTGCTACCCTCTTTGCTTTAGATTGGTTTATTTATGGATTGTCAGATTCTTCTTTAAATTCATGTATATTTTTTTATATCAAAATTCATGTGTGTGATATGAATGGTTTTGTAAATTTCTTTTAGGCTATGATGAGACTAGCAACAATTGGGATGACTACTTGAGATATGTAAATCCTGAGGGAGTATAAATGATTTCTGTAAGTTCCTCTTCTGACTTCACAATTGTGAACTGGGTAGTCATTACAAGCTTCCAATGATAGTTGTCTAACGTTTTGAAGGCAGCTCTCTAAAATTTAAATTATCTTTCTAAGTTTTCTTTTCTTCTAATTACATAAAATTGATATTTTTTATATAGTTATTTATTTGTCATATGTTCTGGTATATCGATTTCTTTTTTTTTCTCAAAATTTTTGCTTCGTTTTATATAATGCATAGAAAGGAGGAACGCCCGAACTGGAGAAATGTGCAGTTAAGGCTGTTTAAGATCGTTATGACGTTGTGCACCGTGACATCCTTTCTATGGACCTGAGGTCAGTCAAACGTGTTATATGTGTATAGGTAGAGTTTCAATTGCTTGATTCTCCTCTGCTTATATCACTTTATTGGGTTTGGTTTAGGAGTATCATTAGATGGTTAAGCATTTGACCACTTTAATGTTTACTTGATTGAAAGATATGCTATATGAAAGTTTGTATTTTTTCAATCTTTCATCGATACAGATAATGTAGGAGTGGAAGGGATTGGGAGACAAATGAGTGTGCAACTAAGCAGGAGGAACATGAAGGAAGCAGTAAAATTCAATTGCGTCCTAAATGAACTCTTAAAGAATAGATTGTAGGGTGAAAGTTTAGATCTCAGAAGTTTGGATGAATTGAATCCTCCAGTTTTTTATATAGTTCAGTAATATTTTAGATAAATGAATTAAAAATATGGTGTGTATAAAATCTACGTAAAATGCTTATACCACATGTAGTCAATTGGTTAACACATATACAGTACATATAATCCATTTGACATTTCCGCAACAATGGAATGTCAATATATAATCCTAAAATAAAATATAAGGAAGCTTAGCATAAATATATGATTAATACTATCTGTAAATACAACAACAACAACAAAGCCTTTTCCCACTAAGTGGGGTCGGCTATATGAATCCTAGAACGCCATTGCGCCCGGTTTTGTGTCATGTCCTCCGTTAGATCCAAGTACTCAAGTCTTTTCTTAGGGTCTCTTCCAAAGTTTTCCTAGGTCTTCCTCTACCCCTTCAGCCCTGAACCTCTGTCCCGTAGTCACATTTTCGAACCGGAGCGTCAGTAGGCCTTCTTTGCACATGTCCAAACCACCGGAACCGATTTTCTCTCATATTTCCTTCAATTTTGGCTACTCCTACTTTACCTCGGATATCCTCATTCCCAATCTTATCCTTTCTCGTGTGCCCATACATCCCACGAAGCATCCTCATCTCCGCTACACCCATTTTGTGTACGTGTTGATGCTTCACCGCCCAACATTCTGTGCCATACAACATCGCTGGCCTTATTGCCGTCCTATAAAATAAAATTTTCCCTTGAGCTTCAGTGGCCTACGACGGTCACACAACACGCCGGATGCACTCTTACACTTCATCCATCCAGCTTGTATTCTATGGTTGAGATCTCCATCTAATTCTCCGTTCTCTTGCAAGATAGATCCTAGGTAGCGAAAACGGTCACTTTTTGTGATCTTCGCTAGATTGCTCCGGTCATTAGTGTGGATAAGTATATAAATGGATAGAGATAGGAAAGCAAACACAAGATGTACGTGGTTCACCCAGATTGGCTACGTCCACGGAATAGAGGAGTTCTCATTAATTGTGAAGGGTTTACACAAGTACATAGGTTCAAGCTCTCCTTTAGTGAGTACAAGTGAATGATTTAGTACAAATGACATTAGGAAATATTGTGGGAGAATGATCTCGTAACCACGAAACTTCTAAGTACCGGAGTGTGGTATCGTCTTGACTTTGCCTTATCTGTCTCATAGGTAGATGTGGCATCTTCTCTGGAAGTACTCTTCCTCCATCCAGGGGTGGTATCTGTAACTGGTGGAGATGCACAAGGTAATGTATCAATTTCACTTGAAGCTTACTTGTAGTTTCAGGCTTGGTCAAGCGCGATACAAACCATGTAGTAGGAGTCCCCCAAGTCGCCGAGCTAGGGGATCTGCTGAAAGAGGTGACAGACAAGGTAAGCAATCAGAGCTCCGGCTGATTGTTCACATTCTCCCTATCTTGCAGGCAGCATGAAGGATAAAGAGAAGAAAAATGAGAAGAGATGATATGGGATACTTTTGCTTTTGAAGAAGTAACTTTCCACAGGCTTATTCTTGAACTGGGCTGGAGGGTTTTCTGGTTTCCTCCAGAGTATAAGGCCGACTGAAGAATTTGAGGGTCAAAACAAGTCCATCAAATCTAGAGTACGTTCGACCCTGCTGATATGGGATACTTTTGCTTTTGACAGAGTAGTGGATGTATCGGCACGTGTGCTGTTACGCTTGTCTCCACATGCTTCCTTGTATCCTTCTCACTTGCCCTATCTGTTCCTCAGGCAGATGCGGTATCTTCCCTGGAAGCATAAGATGTTGAAGATGAGTACTCGAGAGCAATGCCAGGTAAGTAATCAGGTAAGGGGTTCCAGGCAGTCAGTTCCTGGCTGGAAGCTTGATTCCAAGTGCTGACTGATTGCTCTCTTTCTCCTTGTCTTGCAGGTAAGAACAAGGCCAAAGGAAAAGACAGGGAAAAAGCATGATATGGGATACTCTTGCTTTTAACCCTGACCTGATGATATGAGATATTCTTGCTCTAGTATAGCTTGTTTACAGAGGTATTATCGGGGGGAAAGAAAGCTGAATATTTCGAAAGGCTTCGTTGGGAGTGCCCTCTCAGATAAGAGGAAGGGTTGAGCATTTTTGCAGGTCTGCCTGTCCGTTGGGGATGGAGGTCGACATATATAGGAGTCTCCCTAACATCAAGTAATAATGCTATTCCTTTACCCTGCTTGGTCATAGCACGGTAGTGGGAGCTGCCAGCTTCACATGTTTTAACTCTGTCAGAGCACTTTGAAAAAGTGGTCTGTGGTATCTGGAAAGCTGATGTTGCGTGTGAAGATTACAGACAAGCTTTATCCAAGGAGATCCAGCTCTTGAAGTTGGGAAAGTGGTGCCTCTTCGGTTTTCGAACAAGCAATCCTGTCGGGGATCTGGCTCTCGAGATTCGGAGAACGATGCCTCTTCGATTTTTGAGAAAGCAATCCTGCTGGGGGTCTGGCTCTCGAGATTCGGAGAGCGGTGTCTCTTCGATTTTTGAGAAAGTAATCATGTTGGGAGTCTGGCTCTCGAGATTCGGAGGGCGGTGCCTCTTCGATTTTGGAGCAAGCAATCTTGTTGGGAGTGTTTTCTCGAATGTGAGTAAAAGGTTGGGCATGTTTGCTAGTCTACCTTGCCACGAAGCACAGAGGTTGACACACAGGGACTTTCCAATTATCCAGCAGTGGTACTGTTCCTTTACCCTCTCTTCGATTTTTTGAGAAAGTAATCATGTTGGGAGTCTGGCTCTCGAGATTCGGAGGGCGGTGCCTCTTCGATTTTGGAGCAAGCAATCTTGTTGGGAGTGTTTTTCTCGAATGTGAGTAAAGGTTGGGCATGTTTGCTAGTCTACCTTGCCACGAAGCACAGAGGTTGACACACCGGGACTTTCCAATTATCCAGCAGTGGTACTGTTCCTTTACCCTTGTGGGTAATAATATGGTAGCTAGACCTTCAAAATTTATGTGTCTAAACTTTGTTAGTGTTGTTTCTTTGCTATTCTTTTACCCTTCTTGGTCAGAGCGATGTAGTGGGAGCTGCAAGCTTCACGTGTCTCAACTTTGTCAGAGAACTTTGGCAAAGTTATCTGTGGTACCCATGAGCTACTGTTGCGTGTGGGAAGTGGGTGATTGAACAGTACGATTCATGTGCTTTCTACTTCGCCAGAAATCTTCGACAGAATGCCCATAATTTCCGCAAAGCTGAGTGTGCGTGTGACAGGTGCTGACAAGGCTGGAAAAGTAGGTGCCTCTTCGATTTCTGAGATCGGCCCTCGTGGTCTCTGAGCAGCCCAGCTTTTGAGAAAGCAAGCCTCTTCGATTTCTGAGATCGGCCTTCGTGGTCTTTGAGCAGCCCAGCTTTTGAGAAAGCAAACGCCTCTTCGATTTCTGAGATCGACCCTCGTGGTCTCTGAGCAGCCCAGCTTTTGAGAAAGCAAACGCCTCTTCGATTTCTGAGCAGGCGCCTCTTCGATTTCTGAAGCTTCGTCGAGTGCAGATTTTTATAGGGGCTGACATTAAGTTCCAAAGCACACTTGAATATCCACCAGTAGAAGCTCCATTCTTGCACTTCTAAGATCTTGATTTGTCCGACCTCTTCTCTCTTCAACACCTTTGAAAATGTCTGGCCCCTCCGACCGTCGTTTTGACTTGAACCTTGTTGAAGAGGCAGCCCCGCCTTCTCCAGACAACATATGGCGCCCATCCTTCGTCTCCCCTACTGGTCCTCTTACCGTTGGGGATTCCGTGATGAAGAATGATATGACCGCTGCGGTAGTGGCCAGGAACCTTCTCACTCCCAAAGATAACAGACTACTTTCCAAACGGTCTGATGAGTTGGCTGTTAAGGATTCTCTGGCTCTCAGTGTTCAGTGTGCAGGTTCTGTGTCTAATATGGCCCAACGCCTATTTGCTCGAACCCGCCAAGTTGAATCATTGGCGGCTGAAGTGATGAGTCTCAAACAGGAGATTAGAGGGCTCAAGCATGAGAATAAACAGTTGCACCGGCTCGCACATGACTATGCTACAAACATGAAGAGGAAGCTTGACCAGATGAAGGAATCTGATGGTCAGGTTTTACTTGATCATCAGAGATTTGTGGGTTTGTTCCAAAGGCATTTATTGCCTTCGTCTTCTGGGGCTGTACCGCGTAATGAAGCTCCAAATGATCAACCTCTGATGCCTCCTCCTTCTAGGGTTCTGTCCAGTACTGAGGCTCCGAATGATCCCCCTCCGGTGCCTTCTCTTTCTGGGGCTCTACCGACTGCTGAGACTTCTCCTAAGCAACCTTTGTGAAGGCTCCCTCTTGTTTGTTTATTTTGACTCAAGTATATGTACATATTTGTAACTTATCGGGGATATCAATAAATAAGCTTTCCTTCATTTCAACGTATTGTGTTAAATACACCAAAGCCTTCTTCGCTAAGTTCTTTGAATTTTCTTTTGTTGAAGCTTGTATGTTGAAGCTTTGTGAGTGGAGCACATGTAGGTTGAGGTAGTGTTCCCTTAATTTCCCGAGTGAGGAAAACTTCTCGGTTGGAGACTTGGAAAATCCAAGTCACTGAGTGGGATCGGCTATATGAATCTTAGAACGCCATTGTGTTCTGCCATGTGTCATGTCCTCCGTTAGATCCAAGTACTCTAAGTCTTTTCTTAGGGTCTCTTCCAAAGTTTTCCTAGGTCTTCCTCTACCCCTTCGGCCCTGAACCTCTGTCCCATAGTCGCATCTTCTAATCGGAGCGTCAGTAGGCCTTCTTTGCACATGTCCAAACCACCGTAACCGATTTTCTCTCATCTTTCCTTCAATTTCGGCTACTCCTACTTTACCCCGGATATCCTCATTCCTAATCTTATCCTTTCTCGTGTGCCCACACATCCAACGAAGCATCCTCATCTCCGCTACACCCATTTTTGTGTACGTGTTGATGCTTCACCGCCCAACATTCTGTGCCATACAGCATCGCCGGCCTTATTGCCGTCCTATAAAATTTTCCCTTGAGCTTCAGTGGCATACGGCGGTCACACAACACGCCGGATGCACTCTTCCACTTCATCCATCCAGCTTGTATTCTATGGTTGAGATCTCCATCTAATTCTCCGTTCTTTTGCAAGATAGATCCTAGGTAACGAAAACGGTCGCTCTTTGGTATTTCTTGATCTCCGATCCTCACCCCTAACTCGTTTTGGCCTCCATTTGCACTGAACTTGCACTCCATATATTCTGTCTTTGATCGGCTTAGGCGAAGACCTTTAGATTCCAACACTTCTCTCCAAAGGTTAAGCTTTGCATTTACCCCTTCCTGAGTTTCATCTATCAACACTATATCGTCTGCGAAAAGCATACACCAAGGAATATCATCTTGAATATGTCCTGTTAACTCATCCATTACCAACGCAAAAAGGTAAGGACTTAAGGATGAGCCTTGATGTAATCCTACAGTTATGGGAAAGCTTTCGGTTTGTCCTTCATGAGTTCTTACGGCAGTCTTTGCTCCTTCATACATATCCTGTATAGCTTGGATATATGCTACTCGTACTCCTTTCTTCTCTAAAATCCTCCAAAGAATGTCTCTTGGGACCCTATCATACGCTTTTTCCAAATCTATAAAGACCATGTGTAAATCCTTTTTCCCATCTCTATATCTTTCCATCAATCTTCGTAAGAGATAGATTGCCTCCATGGTTGAGCGCCCTGGCATGAACCCGAATTGGTTGTCCGAAACCCGTGTCTCTTGCCTCAATCTATGCTCAATGACTCTCTCCCAGAGCTTCATTGTATGACTCATTAGCTTAATACCCCTATAGTTCATGCAATTTTGTACATCGCCCTTATTCTTGTAGATAGGCACCAAAGTGCTCGTTCGCCACTCATTTGGCATCTTCTTCGTTTTCAAAATCCTATTGAAAAGGTCAGTGAGCCATGTTATACCTGTCTCTCCCAAAACTTTCCACACTTCGATTGGTATATCGTCTGGGCCTACTGCTTTTCTATGCTTCATCTTCTTCAAAGCTACAACCACTTCTTCCTTCCGGATTCTACGATAAAAAAGAGTAGTTTCTACACTCTTCTGAGTTACTCAACTCCCCTAAAGAAGCACTCCTTTCATGTCCTTCATTGAAAAGATTATGAAAATAACCTTTCCATCTGTCTTTAACCGCGTTCTCTGTAGCAAGAACCTTTCCATCCTCATCCTTGATGCACCTCACTTGGTTTAGGTCCCTTGTCTTCTTTTCCCTTGCTCTAGCTAGTTTATAGATATCCAACTCTCCTTCTTTGGTATCTAGTCGCTTATACATATCGTCATAAGCCGCTAACTTAGCTTTCTCTCACAGCTTTCTTCGCCTCTTGCTTCGCTTTTCTATACCTTTCACCATTTTCATCGGTCCATATCCTTGTATAAGGCTTTACAACATTCCTTCTTAGCCTTCACCTTTGTTTGTACCTCCTCATTCCACCACCAAGATTCCTTTTGGTGTGGGGCAAAGCCCTTGGACTCTCCTAATACCTCTTTTGCTACTTTTCGGATACAACTAGCCATGGAATCCCACATTTGGTTAGCTTCCCCCTCTCTATCCCACACACACTGGGTGATTACTTTCTCTTTGAAAATGGCTTGTTTTTCTTCTTTTAGATTCCACTATCTAGTCCTTGGGCACTTCCAAGTCTTGTTCTTTTTTCTCACTCTTTTGATATGTACATCCATCACCAACAAGCGATGTTGATTAGCCACGCTCTCTCCTGGTATAACTTTGCAATCCTTACAAGTTATACGATCCCCTTTCCTCATTAGGAGAAAATCTATTTGTGTTTTTGACGACCCACTCTTGTAGGTGATCACATGTTCTTCTCTCTTCTTAAAGAAGGTGTTGGCTAAGAAGAGATCATATGCCATTGCAAAATCCAAGATAGCTTCCCCATCCTCGTTTCTCTCCCCAAAACCATGGCCACCATGAAAACCTCCATAGTTGCCTGTCTCCCTGCCCACGTGTCCATTTAAATTTCCTCCTATAAATAACTTCTCCGTCTGAGCAATTCCTTGCACCAAGTCTCCAAGGTCTTCCCAAAATTTCTCCTTCGAACTCGTATCCAACCCTACTTGAGGTGCGTACGCACTAATCACATTGATAAGTTCTTGTCCTATTACAATCTTGATTGCCATGATTCTATCTCATACCCTCTTAACATCTACAACATCTTGTGTCAAGGTCTTGTCCACGATGATGCCAACACCGTTTCTCGTTCTATTTGTGCCCGAATACCATAGTTTAAACCCTGAGTTTTCTAGATCCTTTGCCTTACGCCCAACCCACTTAGTTTCTTGTAGGCACATAATATTTATCCTTCTCCTCACCATAACTTCTACTACTTCCATAGATTTTCCCGTCAAGGTTCCTATATTCCACGTTCCTAAACGCATTTTGCTCTCTTGAACTCTACCCTTCTGTCCTAGCTTCTTCACCATTCCCCGTCTAATAGGATCAAAGTACTTCTTTTGTGTGTCCCGGGTAAAGTTGATAGGAGCATATGCTCCCAAACAACTTTGAGTGGAGTCGTTCGAAAAGAAGTTTCTATAGCCCCCTTGCTCATTTAACACTGCATCCGGGTGCCGATGGAGATACAGCGACCCTTGCTCACTTATCACTATGCTCGGGCCACACAGCGCGCCACTTACGGGTGACGCCCTAGCTTTAGCGCGATTTCGTTCTGGATTCATTTTCATAAGGATTCGACGTAATCATGGAGTGCCGGCTGTCGACTACCTGACGCCCTCCCCTTCCTCCTTTATCCGGGCTTGGGACCGGCAATGTAAGATAAACTTACACGGCGGAGTTTAATACTATCTGTAAATGATAATCCAAATTTGTATGTGTTTTGCTTTCATTATATGTTTATATAATGTTTTGTTAAATTAGAGTCGATTATTGGATTTCATGTATTTTAATTCAAACGGTAACATTGTGTGTTCAAAAGGATCCCCTCTAATTTTCAGAGATTAATATTATTTAGTATTTAGTATGCTCATCGACTCCATTGGGCAATAAGCAAAACAAATTATGAAAAGCAAACTAACCAAACAGGCAAAAAATAAAAATCAAATTCTAAAATGTTCTCAAATTTGATTTTAAAGCCAACATCTCCCCCATATGCAGCTAACCCTTTTAGGAAAAACAATAAAGAAGGCCATTGGGACTCAAAAGCTATTTTCAGTTTAGCATGATTATCACTTATATAAACATATAAGGAAAGAAAATCTCAAAGAGTCAGGTTTTTGCCCCAATGTTAACAATATTTGTTTCATTTGTAGTTTTTTGGAGTCTTTATAAGCATTTTTTAGTTTTGATATAAAAAATAATAATATTTTTTTACTCTCTCCTCTCTCTCTCTCTTTCGTGTTTTTGTGGACTTTGGGTTTTATTTCTTTTTTGGGTTTGAGTGTTTTGAATTTTTCTTTTGATAAAGTATTGGTTTTGCAGTAAAAGCAGCAATCCTCTGCTTCCAGCTTCACTTCCACGTTCTCACTATTCATACCCACCCTGCCCATTTCTTTCTAAATTTCTCTTTGCACCCACTGGAAAAAAACAGAGTTTTGTTTTTGTTTCCTCAAAATATAGATTAGACAGCAATATTTTGAATGTTTTGCTTATCCATGTTCTTTGCAGGATGCTCAAAGGATGATAAACAAGAAAAGAAAATCACAGATTGCAAATTAGATGGACAAAAAAGGCAATAGAAATTCATAGGTCCCACATCCGTGACATAAAAGGTATGAAATTGTTAATTGATAATTGAACATAAATGTAGAACTGATTGCTACAAATAAGTATGGTTACTTTTGTATCACATTCTTAATTAAGATGGTTATGCAGTCATTTTTGTAATTGTGTATCTATCAGCTCTGTACTGACTTACAAGTTACACACACCTCAAAATTTTCATTTTCTTTCAAACAATCTTGATCCGCAATATCTGCAGGATTGCAATGAAATAATTGTGAGCAGCATGTATAATGGGAAGGATTTACAAAGGTTTCAACTATTGAACTTGCTTATGCTCTTATTTGAGTAAAAAAAGATTTAGTAGGACAAACTCGAATTGGCTTAATTCCATTTATCATTGATAATTTGATTCTGTTATTCATAGACCATTCTTCCGAATCTCTGAGTTCGAATGTGACCAATTTTTGCATTTTTATGTTTAATTTTAGGAAGAAATGAAAATGAGTTTTGCCTTTTTTTTAGTGTTTCGTTAGTACTAGCTTGCTGCATATGCTATTCTCTGGGTGTAAATATAATTATCTAAGCAAGCTCATTTATTTTTGAACTCTTTAACTGATTTGTGGCTGCAACAAGATTTTTTTTTCGGATTTTTCCCAGTCTTTTTAACAGTATTAGGTTTCTGTCCTGCATGTCACCAGGCTTATTCTTTTTCAATTCACATTAATCACGAATTTATAGTTGATTGGATTTCATTTTGACTGCTGTAAACGGGTTTTCGTCAGCATGTCTGACATGATAAAATCATGTCTTTTGGATTAATTCAAACAATGTAAACATTTCATTTGTATTCTTGATCTTTGTTAGTATTATAATTACATATCTAATGAAAAAGGATTTGTTTTAATGAATAATGTGTCATTACCCAAAATGAGTTACCTTTGCTCAGAGTTTGCTGTTTAGCATGTTATGTTCCTTGGTAACATGCATCTGAAACTCTTTGTGCAGAAGAAGATATCTCATTACAACCACCTCAATCCAACAAATTTTTTATCACTCTTAAAACATTATCTGAACTCTCAGCTCAAATAAGTCCTCAGTTTCCGTATACTTTTTAATTCTTAATATCTACGTGGTTTTCATAGTTTTTAACCATTAAATCACGGAACTTTATATTTACAATTATATTCTTTCTAATTGTTTGTATAGATATCTTTTTTGCTCCCTGCAAGATGATGTCATGGCATGGTTTAGTGGTGTTGAATATAATTGGAGAAACTGATTCTTTAATCTACTCATGATGTAGATTTCAAAGTTGAAACCCACTTACTTTCAATCTTTTCGAACAAATTCACTTTGTAAAGTAACAAAACAACGATATTCCTAAAGGAAATAAAATTGTTTGCTTTGCTGAGGTACTTCTGTTTAGATTAATCAATGCTATAGTGCATTTTGAAACCTAAGTTATGGATCTATTAGTTTCAATTTAAACACATCTAGAAACTTAGGGATATATTTATTAGCTCACATTTATATACTGCTGGAAAGTTAAAGATACGCTGATGATACTGGATTTAACTTTGGTAGTTTTTCAAACATAATTACCCATACAATTTCTAATCCCGCAGCAACGCTCAGGCATCACTTTCTAGTACAAACCAGAACAAACACATATCAAGCTCAAAAAACTGACTTAATCCAATTGAGTTGACCCAAGTCTCCCTATTCATACAAAAATCCATCTAAAAGTTCAAAGCTCTGGGACAATTTCAAAATACTCACCTGAGCTAAAAGTTCAAAGCTCTATGGATTATCTTTCAGAGGTGGATTGTTTGCCCTTTCATTTTATACTCTCCCCATCCCCTTTTGTTTGTATGGTCACGGTTAAGCCACGTCAATATTTTATATTCCTATTCATTTTTGTTTTATTATTTCTATAAAAAATTAATATAAAATGTTGACGTGGCTTAATCTTGACCACACATCACATGAGAGCATGGGAAGAGTATGAAAATGGGAGGGTGGACAATCCACCTCCTTATCTTTCATCCTATATTTTTGACACAATATTTTATAATGTTGATATGAAAATTAACGTTAAATTGTGAGGTGATAGAAAATCATTAGAGAGTATCATTTTATTAAGTATCCTTAGCATTTATCTTGTAAGAGCCTAATGAGTAATTTTTCTTTGTCATCACCACTTTGACATGTGCCCTTATTGATCCACTCATTTTATAACACATCTATCTATTTGTTAGTTATAGTGTTTGTCTTTTACGATACAAGATTAACGTCCTTGTGATAATGACACTCTTAGTCATAAATTCTAGTAAATCACAATTGTGCTTAAATTCACCAAATATGAAAAAAAAAATACTCATGTAAATTTGTTTAACTCATAACTCAATAACATAACATACTGTCGAATGATCGTCACACCGAAAAATCTCTTTATACAGACCGAAACCTTTTATAGTTTTATTAAAATAAAAAAAAAAAGAAAAAAGAAAAAAAAGAAGAGTTGTTGAACACAAAAGGACAGAAAAGACCGAAGCTTTTCGTAGTGATAACTGTTTATAGACCAATAAAAACACACTTTTAACAGTAAAAATATTAAAAAAACTTTCCCATTTCGTGGAAAAGGAAACCAAGAAAAAGCCAGTCAAGCACTCTCTCTTTTCCTCTCTTTTCTTCTCCAATCCCATCCAAACGTTTTTTTCTGCAAAAATCCATCTCCATTCACACACCTTTTTACAATTTTCCCAGAAAAAATTATTGGGCAAGTATTTTTATATAAATCGTATGTTGCACTTGTTTTTTTGTTGACCGGGAAAGTCTGTCTTTGTGGAAAAAAAATCCATCTCCATTCACACACCTTTTTACAATTTTCCCAGAAAAAAATTATTGGGCAAGTATTTTTATATAAATCGTATGTTGCACTTGTTTTTTTGTTGACCGGGAAAGTCTGTCTTTGTGGAAAAAGAAGGAAGCTTTGCTGTGGATTCAAGAACCCTTCTCCGGGATCTTTGATTCATCTGTGTTTTCTGCAAGGGAATTATCTCAGGTGAGTATTTTGAAATTTTCCCAGAGCTTTGAACTTTTAGCTGGATTTTTGTATGTTTAAGGGAGACTTGGGTCAACTTATTTGGATCAAGTCAGTTTTTTGAGCTTGATATGTGTTTGTTCTAGTTTGTATTTTGTGAATATTGAATATGCTTGTTTTCATTAGTTAAATTGCTGTTTGGTACACCTATTCCTGCATCTTTTGGTAGAGAGATGTGTTGGAATTTATTAGGTTTATTTAGGAAATTAATTAGAGATTTGATTTGATTTTGTAGTAGGGTATTTTTGGCATATACGCATTAGGGTTTCTTTGGTTTATTGCTCTATAAATAGAGCTTGTAATTTAGTTAGAGAATAAGTAATTCACAATGTAGCATCTAGGGTTTTTGTAGCCATTTCGGCATTCTCGTTCGTTTAATAATATTCTTATTATTTTGTTAGTCTTGTTTGTTGCGCACTCTGATATTCAACTTGGTATCAGAGCGGGTTCGATCCTTATGGTTCAATCCGTTCTTGTTGGTATCAATTTGTTTTGTCGCTTTTTGTTTTTTGGTTTAGTTTGGGTCTCATTTAGGCTTTCGCTTCCGCTTTGGTCTGTGTCCTTTGTCTTGGTCACTCTGTTTTTGTTCGTTTTTGTCTTTGAATTTCTGTTTATGTTCTTTGTCTTTGGATTTCGGTATTGACCGTCAAATTGTGTTAGTCTTGTCCGTAGATTTTTTGCGTTTTCTGGTTTGGTTTTCAGTTTGTCCTTGGTAGTCTTCAAGAAAGGGAAAAAAAATTCTGTTTTTTGAAAAAAGGTATTTGGTGAATCCATCGCACTAGGATTTCTGCATTCCCCAGCCCCACCCTGCATCTGGATCCGTCCACAACCGTACCCTCGCGAAAAAAAAAAAAAAAAAAAAAAAAAAGGAAGGAGGTTGGTGATGTTGGGTCGCACGTTGGTTCGCACAGAAGGTAAAAAAAAAAGGAAGGAATCGCACAGAAGGAAAAAAAGGAAGAAAGAAGGAAGAAAAAAAATATTTGGTTGGATTTTTTGTTTGTTTGTTAGGCATTGGCATCGACATTTGTACTGGTACTGGCATTGGAATCTTGCACTGGCATGGAAGTCTTGCACTGGCATTGGAATCTTGCACTTGCACCGATGGAATTTCGTATTGAAATTGGCATCGGAATTTGGAGGCTTGCATCCACATCTGCTTGTTGGCAAACTCATGTCGTGTACCGCCATGAGTTTGACGGGGGGTGTTGGAATTTATTAGGTTTATTTAGGAAATTAATTAGAGATTTGATTTGATTTTGTAGTAGGGTATTTTTGGCATATACGCATTAGGGTTTCTTTGGTTTATTGCTCTATAAATAGAGCTTGTAATTTAGTTAGAGAATAAGTAATTCACAATGTAGCCTCTAGGGTTTTTGTAGCCGTTTCGGCATTCTCGTTCGTTTAATAATATTCTTATTATTTTGTTAGTCTTGTTTGTTGCGCACTCTGATATTCAACTAGATGATGAATTGGGTTTTGCTTCCTGTGTTGTTTCCGTAATTTGTTTTCAAATTTGGGGTTAATTAAAGCTAAAATATTGTAAAACTTTTGAGTGTTTATTGGTCTAATTTGGGTTCATTTCTTGTTGCTTTTGAATTTTGTTTCAGGGCTTGGTGTTTACTAAAGCTGGGGTTTTGTGGAATTTGGTATTCTTGAGCTCTGGTAATAAAAAATAGCGAATTTAGGCGATTTTGATGGCTTTTTCGATGTATATGTATCAGAACTAATTTTCCTTAGCTAGGGCTACGATGTATCCATGACTATGAATGCTTAAATTGTGGTTACAAAGTCAAGGATGATGTAGATAACAGTAGACACTCATTGTTTTAAAGAAAGTTTGTCTATTATGGTTACAAAGTCAAGGATGATGTAGATAATGTTTTCTCTTTGTTCCTATTTTTTAATTACATCTTAAGGTTCAGCTACATTCAGATTATAATTTAAGGTGTATATTGTGTTGGATCAAAAATGGTGTGTGTTTTATGAATGAAATTTCTGTATAAGAATGCCCAGGTATTTACATGTATATGTGTGTATACTTAGGAAAATAGTCATTTAGGTAGCTGAGTGAAGTCCTTATGATGATTACGATTTGGGATTTATATTTAGTTATATTAAAAAAAGTTATTTGGTTAAAAGAAGGGGAAAAAATAAAGAGGAAGATAAATTATGTGCCTGGATAGAGATTTCTTAGTTTAAAGTGTGTGCGCTTTGTAATTTTTTTTAATCTTTCTTAGAAACAGAGCTTAAAAGTAAAGAGGAAGAAAAATTATGTGCCTAGATAGTGATTTCTCATTTTAAAGTGACTGCGCTTTGTAATTTTTTTTTTTTAATGTTTCTTAGAAATAGAGCTTTCTCAGTTTGGAATTTACAAATTTCTATAATCATTTTGATAAATGTTTATATATATATATGTTGCCATTGTTTTGAATGAAAAAAAATATTGTTATAGTGTTATTGTTTTGTACATCTTATCTATGACTACGTTTTCTATTGTAGATTAGTGCCACAACAATTTATATAAGCTACGAAGTGCCTTTGCTGAAATTGGAAAGAAAAAAAAAGGGTGAGCTGACAAATAATGTCAAATTTACAATTTACAATTTTTTTTAATTATATTGATAATTGTTTATACATATATATAAATGTGTATTGGTATTTGTATCATACTTTAAAAATTTTTGGTATATCAAATGTCATTCCGTGTTAAATTTGTATTTCCGTTTATGTCTTTTGTAGTGCGGTTCAGCTTTTTTTCTTTTCTTTTATAGGTTAAAACATTTTTGGTGGTGGTTAACAATTTTGTTACTTCATAGTTTAATAAATTTATTGTTCAATAATATTTATGTTGGTTTTTCACAGGGTTTGAGAACGTGGCATTAATTAACATCAAGTTAGTTTTGTTGCGTTGCAAGATTCTCTACACAAAAAGTAAGTGATTTAAACTTCAAAAATTGAGTTCAAATTTATACCATCTGGTTTAATTTTATTTTTTACAATTAGAAGAAAGTTTCATATTCTGTTTAGGTTTTATAATACTCAAATTGAAATTTTTAATTTTAGTAGTTTGTTTGCATTTAATGTTATATGTGTTGTTTTAATATGTGTGTTACATCTTCGTTAATTTTTTCCTTTTTCCCAATTTGTTTGCAGCTGTTTGTTTTTCAATTGGTCATAACAATTGGTTTGCAATATGTCCAAAAGACATATAAATTTAAAGCTTATGGATTATGATGTCGGATTTCAGAGTTGATCCTTTCATGAAAATTATAAAACTTGTCATTATGAGTGAATGAATATTTTTATTTTTTTTTTGCATTTTTGTTTTTGCGCCGAAGGTGCTTCAGCGATTTCTTCTTTTTATTTTTTGTTTTTTTTTTCTCTGATCTCTGATGATTTTCCTGGATAGTTGTTTGTACGTATATTTTATTAAAAGATGCCTTTGCAAGAGTGCTTCGGACAAAACTTTCTTTTAATTAAGCATATTTAAAAGAAAAATTTTAAGTAGTAGCATTATCAAATATTTTTTGGTTGACTAATCCTTCTCTTCAGATTTAAATTTTGTCCTCTCTGGAGTGTTTGTAACTTTGTGCACATTGTTCGTGGCAGGAATTCCCGTCGGGGATGTTTCCTGGCCGACGAGCACACAGCTCCCCTGGAGGTTCGGCGCCAGTTGAGGGTTGCTGTCGGACTTCTGCTTTCCTGTCGGGCTTTGTCGGGCAAGTCTCGTCGGGCAAGACTCTTCGGGCAAGGATGAAAGAGAAGGACAGCGTTAACTTTGAGAGGTGCCTTTGTGGGGCCTTAGGTGTAGGCCTTGAGGCTCACAATCAAGGTTAACATTTTAGTGCTCAGGCGTGCCACTGCCATCTTCAGCATGGCAGATGTCGAATGGATGTCACGTTTTAGTTGTGAATATGCATATGCCCGAGAAACCGTGTTAGATATAACAGGTGCCTTTGTGGGGCCTTAGGTGTAGGTCTTGAGGCTTTCTGTCAAACTAAACCAGTACTTGAGCATATTATATTTGGTCTTTATGGTTGTCGGAGTCTTATAACTATTATATTTCTGATTATTCGAGTCTGAGAGGTAGAGCGAACCCAAATAGGTGCCTTTGTGGGGCCTTAGGTATAGGCTTTGAGGCTTCCCATTAGAGTCCGTTCTTATACTCAAACCACCTAGACCGCAGAATAGAATGAATCCAAATAAGTGCCTTTGTGGGGCCTTAGGTATAGGCCTTGAGGCTTCCTATCATAATCCATTCCATACTTAAGCGTTCTATGATAATCATGATATAATAGAAATAAAACCAAGAGGTAGGTCGATTACTTGCGCCCCAAGTAACTTCGGACTTCTCGTTTATCAAGGATTGTCGTGGATGGGTTAAGTCCACATAGAGTTCTTTTTTATGCCTTGAGGCCAAGGACTTTTAAACTAATCAGATTTACATGCCTGAGGGCTTAGGACTTGGATCTGATTTAAACACTGAAGATATATTCAAATCGGATCCAAGTACTGAGAAAGCTTTGTCATCGTGATTTTGCTAGAAACAACTTGCATATAATTAGAAATATACAACATATTGCTAGACTTTACAGAAAGAGAAGACAGACAGAGCAAAGCAGGTCGGGCAAAATTAAACCTTATCAATTAAGGCTGATCGTCTTGCAGGTCCCTATCTTTGTAGTTCTGTCAAAGGTCTGAAAGCTTAGAGGGGGAGAGGGGAGAGGAGAATACAAAAGGTGAATCGATACTACAACAAGTTCGAACAAGGTAGCAGAGCTATTACAGAGGTTGGGAGAAAAGATTATCCCGCGAGGGATGAAGGCTTGGGCTGATTACAGCTTCGTTTTGAAACGCAAATCTGGCTTTTTGAGCAGAGTTTGTGCTTTTGTTTGTTTGATTGAGTGTTTTTGTTTGTTTGATTGAGTGTCCTCTCTTCCTCCTTTTATAGACGACTCGGTTTGGCTCCTGTAGCGACAGCTTTGCCCGAATGCGGTCTGAGGGTGATGACTTATCAGCTTTATTACATGTAATGCCACCATAAAGTACTTTATGGGCTGTGCAGTCTGATCAGTCTACACCACTTGGTCCTTGGGTAGGTAGGCAAGTGGCCCTTATGAATTGTATCAAGTCAGAAAAGGCCCTTTCCTGCTTTCCCAAGTTTCGGTCGGGCCTTGATCTTCTATTCCTCCAGGCCTCCTGGGCCGACTCCATCCTTGGGCCAAAAAATCAAGTTTTAATCCAAACACACATGCTCAGTAAGAACTAGGAAACTTCCTCGCATCAGCAGGAGGAGGAGGTGGGGCCCGTGCGGGTTCATTCTTACACTTTACCTTTCTTTCTTTCACTTTTCTTCTGTTTGAATGCACACAATTGCTACGCCGAATGTGCTGAGAAATTTCGTCTTTTTATTTTTTATGGTTTTTTTTTTTTTTTGTCTAATCTTTAATAATTTCCCCGATCGTCCATATTTTATTGAAAGATGCCTTACAGAGTACTGTGGACAAAATTTTCTTTTAACAGTTGCATTATCAACAAAAATTTAGGTGACTAATCCTTGTCTCTCTAAATTTTAAATTTTTGTCCTCCCTGGCATTTGTAACTTAGTGCACGTAATAAAGTACAATTTTTTTTATTTCTTTGTACTAAACTCTGATCTAGTTTCAGGTGCAACTATAGTTCAGATTCTCCATCTTCTATCTGCAATCATATACTTCCTTCGATCGCTTCATTCTCTTATCTTTCTAAGAGATAGAGAGATGGAGGTGATTGGGACTTTTCAAACATAATTACCTAAATAATTTTTATAGAAAACTTCATTTTAATCCTTGGCAAAGATAACTTTTAGATTAAAACCATGAGTAAGATCAAAATTTAATTTTAGTCTCTTAATACATTAATAACCGCATTTATTAATTATATTTTGATTTTTTAACTATTTCTCTTTTTCTTCCTAATTTTTAATGTATTAATTTTATTTCATTATAATTTTCATTTTCATTTCATTTATCGTAATATATTTTGTTAGCACATATTACTAAATTTAACATTTGAATATAATTGTGGACCCAAGGCTTTGAAAAACAATATACAGTTTAGATTTGTTTGTAGAGTCGAAGTTGTCCAGTAGCAACAGCAAAATTCCTCGCATCAGCAGGAGGAGGTGGGATATTCATTCTTAATTTCACCTTTATTTGTTAAAGCCCTCAACTAGGATATATTGTAACCTTTTCTTCCGTTTGAATGCAAACAATTTCAACGCCGAATATGCTTGAGCAATTTCGTCTTTTTATTTTTAATGGTTTTTTTGTTTGATCTTTGATGATTTTTTTGGATTGTCGTTTGTACATATATTTTATTGAAAGATGCCTTACAGAGTGTGTTTTGGACAAATTTTTCTTTTAATTAAGCATATTTGAAAGAAATTTTTAATGTAGTAGCATTATCAAATACTTGTTTGGTGACTCGTCTCTGTCTCTCCAAATTTTTAGTTTTTGTCCTCAGCTGGTGTGTTTGTAACTTTATGCACATACTCAACAAGAACTGATACAATTTCAATTTTTCTGTACTAAAATCTGATCTACTCTCAAATGCAAGAATAGTTCAGATTCTCTCTCTGCTCTCTGTAATCAAATACTCTCGCTTCGATCGCTTCATTCTCTTTTCTAACAGATAGAGAGATGGACTTGATTGGGTTCATTCAAGTTTTCAACATCGTCCTCATCGCCATCGGGACTCTGTTGTACATGTGCTGCAGATCATTGACATTTTCTTCCTCTACTTCTTCTTCTTCTTCTGGTGCTGCTGATGCTGCTGCAGTTGATGATGATAACAACGATGATGTTGATATCCCCTCTTCTTCTTCTGGTGCTGCTGATGCTGCTGTTGATGATGATAACAAAGATGATGTTGATATCCCCTCTTTTCGAGAAAAGTATGATGTGTTTATTAGTTTCAGAGGTGAGGACACCCGCGACACTTTTACCAGCCATCTTCATGCCGCTTTGGAAGGGAAGAAAATCAAAACCTACATAGACTACAGGCTGAAGAAAGGAGACGAAATTGAACCCGCCCTACTAAAAGCAATAGAGAATTCAAGGCTTTCGGTGATCATTTTCTCCAAAAACTATGCGTCTTCCACATGGTGCTTGAAGGAACTTGTGCATATACTCGAATGCAAAAAGAAATATGGCCAGATGATTGTATCCATTTTTTACGACACCAGTCCATCAGATGTGCGAAAACAAAAGGGGAGTTATGCAGATGCATTTGCTCAACTTGAAAAACGTTTCAAGGACAGTATGGGCAAGGTGCGCGAGTGGAGGAAAGCTTTGATGACTGCAACCAATCTTTCTGGGTTTGATTATTCAAACAAAAAAGGGTAAGTAACTTTGTAACTTGTATCAATTTCTACTTGTGATTATTTCTTTTCAAATTTTATTTTTATTGTTTATAGGAAAGGATATTCATTACATAGACTTCAAATTTTTATTAGGTAAATTGAACCTTATTCATAATCAATACAAATATAACACTGAGAAACACAAATTAACCATATTTGACATAAAATTTTAAACCATGACCAATTCACCAAACGTACACAACATGAAAATTTACCCTATTTGTTTCCCTCCAATACTTCACTATACTAACGTGTGTGTACCTTACCGAAAACCCCATCACAAAAACATATTTTTTCGAAAATAAATCACCACATCACCAAGCAAACTGTTATTCAAATGAAAAAACTACTTAATACTTAATACCATAATCATTCAACATTCATAAAAATAAAAAAATAACCATAAACCACACTCAATATAATCATTAGCTAAACCAACACCATATTCAACATTCATAAATAAAAAATAAAAAAAGGGGGTCAAACTAAACGCCTTTAAATCACAAAATCGAAAACAACAAACCATATAATTAGTGAGTGCAGACTTTCCGGCATTCGGGACACCAATTATGCCAACAGACAATGCCTTTTGGTCATCCGCCTTCACCATTTCTTCCTCATCATCTGCACGCTCCAATGCCGCCTCTAGAAGCGCCTTTGCATAACCAAGCTAATAAGCATAAGTTCAAACTTAATCCACTCTTTAAATTCATCCTTACTAAGTAACGTGAACGTTGATAAACTTTCAGCACATAATAATAATAATAATATTAATAAGAATAAGAATAAAGGTCATCGTTGCCTTATATACTTGTATAAACACAATACACAGCTTATCCCAGCTGAAGCAGAACTTGTAATTCATGCGAACTTTCTCGCTAATCAAACAAATGGGTGTGCGAATTAGCTCAAATCCAGAACAATTAACAGTGAATGAACAGTACCAGAAGCTGAAATGAGCAAAGAATGCATGAAACTTTGAGATTGAGCAGGGGTGGAGTGGTGGGTTTTACCTTGTTCGCATACACCCGAGGAAAGCAATCTCAGATGACCGACACGTGGGAAAAATTGACAACAGCTGGGCCAAAGGGCATATTAGTAATTCTACTATGCCAAATAAAAAATACAACGGAAATGAAACAGTGCAAGGCAAAAACATCAATACATTGCGTGAACAGTGTCCTTGAACTGGGTTTACTTACTATATATAGCTTATCATTTGTAATCATATTTTGCAGGACGGAGGCTGATTTCATTGAGGAAGTTGTGGAAGATATTTCAACGAAATTGAAACGTGAAACCTCATATGGTTTAAAGGGCATGTTTGGAATTGAAAGCCGCATCGAGCAAGTTGAATCGTTATTAAGCACTGATGATTGGCAAGGTGTTTGCACTGTAGGCATTTGGGGTACGGGTGGCATTGGAAAGACCACCCTTGCTAAGGCTGTGCTCAACAGACTCTCTTCTAACTTCGAAGCTACTTGTTTTCTTAGCAATGTTAGGGAGAAATCAGATCAAATAGGTGGAGCCGATCAATTGCAAAAGACACTTCTTAGAGAGATCTTTAAGGAAAAAAATCTCTCCAAAGATTCAGCTTCTGTTCGAGAAAGGCTCAGCCGTACAAAGGTTCTCATTGTTTTTGATGATGTTTGTGACTCAAGGCAAATCAAAGATCTAGCTGGAGATAATCTTCGCTACGGGAATGGAAGTAGAATCATCGTAACAAGTAGAGAACAGAGCGTACTCGTGAAAGCTGTTAGTGATGAAAAATATATATATGAGGTTAAGAAAATAAAAACTGATGACGCTCTTCAGCTCTTTCAATTTCATGCTTTCAAGGATAACTCTCCTAGAGAAGGATATACAGAGTTGTCGGCAAGGGTGGTAAAATATGCTGGAGGCATTCCCCTGGCTCTTGAAGTTTTGGGTTCCTTATTGTTTCCATGTAAGAGCAAAAACCAGTGGGAAGATGCATTGAGCGCACTGAGAGATTATCCCAATGAAGAAATTCAAAATACGTTCAGAGTAAGCTATAATAGATTGGGAAGAAATGCGCAAGAGGTATTTCTTGATGTAGCATGCTTTTACAAAGGGAATCATATTCAATATGTTAAAAAGATGGTAGACTTTGGTGGTTCATGTGCGGCAGATGGAATTAGAGTTCTCTGTGATAGGTCTCTCATATCGATTGATTCGGAACGGGAAACCATAGATATGCATGATTTGGTACAAGAAATGGGTTGGGCAATTGTTGGCGAACAATGTATTGAAGAGCCCGGACGACGCAATAGGTTGTTCATTGTTGAGGATATCTATCATGTATTGAAAAATAACACGGTAAGAGTTGCAAGTGGATTCACAATTTTTTTAAACAATAAAGAAGAAATAGATCGATAAAATACCATGTACTTCCTATGAGAAGACAGCCAGAGAAAACTCATTTACAAAAAAAAAGTCATATTCCTACAAATGTAGTTTAGATTAAATTTTGTTGTGTGTTAGTGTTCACATTTGTACTTTGCTGTTGGTTGTCAGGGAACTGAAAAGGTTCAAGCCATATTCTTTAACGGAGAGCAAATCTTGGATCGTGCAGACTTCAAAAGGATGTATAATATGAGATTGCTCGGTGTTGGTTCTTGGGGGTGGCGGTGTGGGTGGGGGGGCAAAATATTAAACAGTAAAACTCTCTTTGTTCTTCCCAATTCTCTTCGTTATCTTTTCTGGGTGGCATATCCTTTGAAATCTTTGCCCCCAGAATTTTCTCTTGAAAATCTTGTTGAGCTTCATATGCCCGATAGCGAAGTCACGCAACTTTGGGATGGAGGCCAGGTATATGTTATTGTTATAGTTTTTTTTTTTTTTTTTTTTTGTCTAAGATGTAGTGTAGAAACTTATTTAGACTAAGTTGTTAATTCTTACATTTTCTCTTTAATTTGTTACAGAATCCTGGGAACTTAAAAGTGATCCAACTTTGTAACTGCAAACATCTAACTGCACTTCCAAATCTCTTGGGGAGTCCAAATATCGAGCACATGGATCTTTTTGGATGTGAAAGTTTGGTTGAAATTCCTCAGTATTTTAAAAATCTTGACAAACTCACTTATCTTGATCTTTCAAGGTGCTACTGTCTCAAGCATCTTCCAGAGATGCCAGGCAATATTGAATTCTTAAAATTACAAGGCAGTGGCATAAAGGAGTTGCCGTCATCAGTTTGGTCTCATGAAAAAATTTCTTCCTTGGATATTACATATTGTGAAGAACTTAAGGAACTTCCAAGTAACACTTGCAAGCTGAAAGTCCCTGGTGCTTTTAGTATAGAGGGCTGCTGCTCTCTTGAAAAGTTTTGGGAGCTTCCCAGGGGCATTGGTGAATTAGATTTTTCAAGAACAAAAATAGAAGTATTGCCCACGTCATCAATGGAGTGTCTCTTTTGTCTCACCAAACTTAAACTGAAGGATTGCAAAAATCTTGTGAGCCTCCCACCGAGCATTTGTAAGTTGAAATCTCTTGAGGAACTTGATCTCACTAGTTGCTCTGAACTTAAAGTTGTCCCAAGTAGCATCTACAAATTAACAAATATCAAAACGCTCAGCTTTAGTTACTGTTGGAAACTCCGAAATTTTCCTCAGCCGACTGGCTTAGTTGGTTTTCCCTCTCTTGAAGTACTAAACCTCAAATACAGCGGTATATTAGAAATCCCTGAGGGCCTCATTTGCTCAACCACATTACGGGATCTTAATCTGAGCAGAACTAAAATTCGGAGCATACCCTCAAGCATTAAACAAGCTGCTCAGCTGTCTTGCCAGTGCTTAATCAAGTGCAAGAAGCTTCGATCTTTACCAGAGGTCCCAATGCTCAGTCGTCTTCAAGCAAATGGCTGCAAGTCACTGAAGACAGTGTCGAGTTCAAGGACTGCAATTACACAATGTTGGAATAGATATGAATTGCTTCGAGAGCAACTTAACTTTTCTAATTGCGGAAGGTTGGGTTATGATGCAAGGAGCAGCATAATGGTTGATGCACAGCTTAGAATCATGCGAGTGGCAACTGCGTCTTCAAAGTTAGAAGAGGAAGATTACGTATGTTTCTCATATGCAGACGAAGTTTACTTATCTCTCTCTCGCTCTGTCCATATCAAAATAGAAGATTACGTATGTTTCTCAACAGCATCTTCAAATTTACAAGGAGTCTCTCTCTCTCTCCCTCTCCCTCTCCCCCCCCCTCTCTCTCTCTCTCTCTCTCTGTTAAGTAACAAGATGTCAATCAATGTTGCAGGAAAAGTACTCTGGGCCCTTAGTTACCATTCTATGTCCGGGAGATGAAATTCCAAATTGGTTCGTACATCAAAATGAGGGGGCTTCAATAAATGTCAGGCTTCCTGCAAATTGGTTTCGTGAAGGTTTCTTGGGTTTCGCTCTCTCTTTTGTTGCATCCATACTCTTTGCTCCACATGTGCAGTTTGAATGCAAGTACAATTTCAAAACTGGAGAGGGGGAAAGTCATGAAATCAATTGTTATTTCAATTTAGAAATTAAAGATGAAGGAATTTGTCATTACTCATATCTACAGCATGTGTTCGTATTGTATAAAGACCTTGAATATGAAGAGAGAACAAAATGGTCCTCTGCTTTTTACGACCGCGTCAGTTACGGTGGTTTGGACATGTGCAAAGAAGGCCTACTGACGCTCCGATTAGAAGATGCGACTATGGGACAGAGGTTCAGGGCCGAAGGGGTAGAGGAAGACCTAGGAAAACTTTGGAAGAGACTCTAAGAAAAGACTTAGAGTACTTGGATCTAACGAAGGACATGACACAGGATCGAGCACAATGGCGTTCTAAGATTCATATAGCCGATCCCACTCAGTGACTTGGACTTTCCAAGTCTCCAACCGAGAAGTTTTCCTCACTCGGGAAATTAAGGGAACACTACCCCAACCTACATGCTCCACTCAGAAAGCTTCAACATACAAGCTTCAACAAAAGAAAATTCAAAGAACTTAGCGAAGAAGGCTTTGGTGTATTTAAACACAATACGTTGAAATGAAGGAAAGCTTATTTATTGATATCCCCGATAAGCTACAAATATGTACATATACATGAGTCAAAATAAACACACAAGAGGGAGCCTTCACAAAGGTTGCTTAGGAGAAGTCTCAGCAGTCGGTAGAGCCCCAGAAAAGAGAAGGCACCGGAGGGGGATCATTTGGAGCCTCAGTACTGGACAGAACCCTAGAAGGAGGAGGCATCAGAGGTTGATCATTTGGAGCTTCATTACGCGGTACAGCCCCAGAAGACGAAGGCAATAAATGCCTTTGGAACAAACCCACAAATCTCTGATGATCAAGTAAAACCTGACCATCAGTTTCCTTCATCTGGTCAAGCTTCCTCTTCATGTTTGTAGCATAGTCATGTGCGAGCCGGTGCAACTGTTTATTCTCATGCTTGAGCCCTCTAATCTCCTGTTTGAGACTCATCACTTCAGCCGCCAATGATTCAACTTGGCGGGTTCGAGCAAATAGGCGTTGGGCCATATTAGACACAGAACCTGCACACTGAACACTGAGAGCCAGCGAATCCTTAACAGCTAACTCATCAGACCGTTTGGAAAGTAGTCTGTTATCTTTGGGAGTGAGAAGGTTCCTGGCCACCACCGCAGCGGTCATATCATTCTTCATCACGGAATCCCCAACGGTAAGAGGACCAGTAGGGGAGACGAAGGATGGGCGCCATATGTTGTCTGGAGAAGGCGGGGCTGCCTCTTCAACAAGGTTCAAGTCAAAACGACGGTCGGAGGGGCCAGACATTTTCAAAGGTGTTGAAGAGAGAAGAGGTCGGACAAATCAAGATCTTAGAAGTGCAAGAATGAAGCTTCTACTGGTGGAGATTCAAGTGTGCTTTGGAACTTAATGCCAGCCCCTATAAAAATCTGCACTCGACGGAGCTTCAGAAATCGAAGAGGCGCCTGCTCAGAAATCGAAGAGGCGTTTGCTTTCTCAAAAGCTGGGCTGCTTAGAGATCACGAGGGTTGATCTCAGAAATCGAAGAGGCGTTTGCTTTCTCAAAAGTTGGGCTGCTCAAAGACCACGAAGGCCGATCTCAGAAATCGAAGAGGCGCTCGCTTTCTCAAAAGCTGGGCTCCCCAGAGACCACGAGGGCCGATCTCAGAAATCGAAGAGGCACCTACTTTTCTAGCCTTGTCAGCACCTGTCACACGCACACTCAGCTTTGCAGAAATTATGGGCATTCTGTCGAAGACTTCTGGTGAAGTAGAAAGCACATGAATCTTACTGTTCAATCACCCACTTCCCACACGCAACAATAGCTCATGGGTACCACAGATAACTTTGCCAAAGTTCTCTGCCAAAGTTGAGCACGTGAAGCTTGCAGCTCCCACTACATCGCTCTGACCAAGAAGGGTAAAAGAATAGCAAAGAAACAGCACTAACAAAGTTTAGACCCATAAATTTTGAAGGTCTAGCTACCATATTATTACCCACAAGGGTAAAGGAACAGTACCACTGCTGGATAATTGGAAAGTCCCTGTGTGTCAACCTCTGTGCTTCGTGGCAAGGTAGACTAGCAAACATGCCCAACCTTTACTCACATTCGAGAAAACACTCCCAACAAGATTGCTTGCTCCAAAATCGAAGAGGCACCGCCCTCCGAATCTCGAGAGCCAGACTCCCAACATGATTACTTTCTCAAAAATCGAAGAGACACTGCTCCCCGAATCTCGAGAGCCAGACCCCCAGCATGATTGCTTTCTCAAAAAAATCGATGAGGCATCGTTCTCCGAATCAATCGAAGAGGCGCTCGCTTTCTCAAAAGCTGGGCTGCTCAGAGACCACGAGGGCCGATCTCAGAAATCGAAGAGGCACCTACTTTTCTAGCCTTGTCAGCACCTGTCACACGCACACTCAGCTTTGCAGAAATTATGGGCATTCTGTCGAAGACTTCTGGTGAAGTAGAAAGCACATGAATCTTACTGTTCAATCACCCACTTCCCACACGCAACAATAGCTCATGGGTACCACAGATAACTTTGCCAAAGTTCTCTGCCAAAGTTGAGCACGTGAAGCTTGCAGCTCCCACTACATCGCTCTGACCAAGAAAGGTAAAAGAATAGCAAAGAAACAGCACTAACAAAGTTTAGACACATAAATTTTGAAGGTCTAGCTACCATATTATTACCCACAAGGGTAAAGGAACAGTACCACTGCTGGATAATTGGAAAGTCCCTGTGTGTCAACCTCTGTGCTTCGTGGCAAGGTAGACTAGCAAACATGCCCAACCTTTACTCACATTCGAGAAAACACTCCCAACAAGATTGCTTGCTCCAAAATCGAAGAGGCACCGCCCTCCGAATCTCGAGAGCCAGACTCCCAACATGATTACTTCCTCAAAAATCGAAGAGACACTGCTCTCCGAATCTCGAGAGTCAGACCCCCAGCATGATTGCTTTCTCAAAAATCGAAGAGGCATCGTTCTCCGAATCTCGAGAGCCAGATACCACAGACCACTTTTTCAAAGTGCTCTGACAGAGTTAAAACATGTGAAACTGGCAGCTCCCACTACCGTGCTATGACCAAGCAGGGTAAAGGAATAGCATTACTACTTGTTGTTAGGGAGACTCCTATATATGTCGACCTCCATCCCCAACGGACAGGCAGACCTGCAAAAATGCTCAACCCTTCATCATATCTGAGAGGGCACTCCCAACGAAGCCTTTCGAAATATTCAGCTTTCTTTCCCCCCGATAATACCTCTGCAAACAAGCTATACTAGAGCAAGAATATCTCATATCATCAGGGTTAAAAGCAAGAGTATCCCATATCATGCTTTTTCCCTGTCTTTTCCTTTTGGCCTTGTTTTTACCTGCAAGACAAGGAGAAAGAGAGCAATCAGTCAGCACTTGGAATCAAGCTTCCAGCCAGGAACTGACTGCCTGGAACCCCTTACCTGATTACTTACCTGGCATTGCTCTCGAGTACTCATCTTCAACATCTTATGTTTCCAGGGAAGATTCCGCATCTGCTTGAGGAACAGATAGGGCAAGTGCGAAGGATACAAGGAAGCATGTGGAGACAAGCGTAACAGCACACGTGCCGATACATCCATTACTCTGTCAAAAGCAAAAGTATCCCATATCAGCAGGGGTGGAACGTACTCTAGATTTGATGGACTTGTTTTGACCCTCAAATTCTTCAGTCGGCCTTATACTCTGGAGGAAACCAGAAAACCCTCCAGCTCAGTTCAAGAATAAGCCTGTGGAAAGTTACTTCTTCAAAAGCAAAAGTATCTCATATCATCTCTTCTCATTTTTCTTCTCTTTATCCTTCATGCTGCTGCAAGATGGGGAGAAGGTGAACAATCAGTCGGAGCTCTGATTGCTTACCTTGTCTGTCACCTCTTTCAGCAGACCCCCTAGCTCGGCGACTTGGGGGACTCCTACTACATGGTTTGTATCGCGCTTGACCAAGCCTGAAACTACAAGTAAGCTTCAAGTGAAATTGATACATTACCTTGTGCATCTCCACCAGTTAAAGATACCACCCCTGGATGGAGGAAGAGTACTTCCAGAGAAGATGCCACATCTACCTATGAGACAGATAAGGCAAGTCAAGACGACACCACACTCCGATACTTAGAAGTTTCGTGATTACGAGATCATTCTCCCCACAATATTTCCTAATGTCATTTGTACTAAATCATTCACTTGTACTCACTAAAGGAGAGCTTGAACCTATGTACTTGTGTGTAAACCCTTCACAATTAATGAGAACTCTTCTATTCCGTGGACGTAGCCAATCTGGGTGAACCACGTACATCTTGTGTTTGCTTTCCTATCTCTATCCATTTATATACTTATCCACACTAATGACCGGAGCAATCTAGCGAAGATCACAAAAAGCGACCGTTTTCGCTACCTAGGATCTATCTTGCAAGAGAACGGAGAATTAGATGGAGATTCTCAACCATAGAATACGAGCTGGATGGAAAGAGTGCATCCGGCGTGTTGTGTGACCGTCGTAGGCCACTGAAGCTCAAGGGAAAATTTTATAGGACGGCAATAAGGCCAGCGATGTTGTATGGCACAGAATGTTGGGTGGTGAAAGCATCAACACGTACACAAAATGGGGTGTAGCGGAGATGAGGATGCTTCGTGGGATGTGTGTGGGCACACGAGAAAGGATAAGATTGGGAATGAGGATATCCGAGGTAAAGTAGGAGTAGCCGAAATTGTAGGAAAGATGAGAGAAAATCGGCTCCGGTGATTTGGACATGTGCAAAGAAGGCCGACTGACGCTCCGGTTCGAAGATTGTGACTACGGGACAGAGGTTCAGGGCCGAAGGGGTAGAGGAAGACCTAGGAAAACTTTGGAAGAGACTCTAAGAAAAGACTTAGAGTACTTGGATCTAACGGAGGACATGACACAAAATCGAGCGCAATGGCGTTCTAGGATTCATATAGCCGACCCCACTTAGTGGGAAAAGGCTTTGTTGTTGTTGTTGTTGTTGTTGTCACTGAGGTCTCTATTCACTTTTGGCAAGAAAGGGGATTTTGTACAGTGGAAAAGTGTGGGATGTGCCTGTTGTATGCTGAAGATGCTGAGAAATTAAAATGTGATGTCATGTCGCGACACGAACAAGATGAGCATGCAGCAAGTGGGAGTGGTGATCCTGAAGACAGTGGAAGCAATGAATCTGAGGAAGCAAGTGGAAGCGATGACTCTGAGTGAGAAAGAGGAAGCGACGAGGAAGCAAAAGAAAATGACGAGTCTGAGGAAGCAAGTGGAAGAGATGAGTCTGAGCAAGCAAGTGGAAGTGACGAGCCAGATGCAAGTCGAAGTGATTAGTCTGTTGTTGGTTTAGGGCTCTCCTAAACTTCAATGTAAAAAATAATTTAAAGATAAAAAATTGAGTAGTTCATCTAGTATTCAACCACAATTCTATGTTAAACATGTGAAATATATTAAAATTGTCTACATCAATCTCAAAATCTATTTACATCCTAATTAAGGGAGGAGTAAGAGATGAGAAATTTCATACCGACAGGCAATCATTGTTTAAGAAATATAAAGTATTCATTGAGTTCTACAAATATAACTAATACCTGCGTCATAATAGACCACCTATCAATTAAGATTGTTATACAAACCAAAGAATTCAGTTGATTCAAAAATCGAAGCCCATAACAAAATTTATCTAATATAGTACGACAAAAACAAAACCCAAACAGATACCTTCTAGCATTTCCTTTAGAGAAAATTTTCTCACAAGAGAAAACAACTAAAATCATTGACAAATAGATAAGACAAAGATAAAATTCATTGGAACTCCTGTTGAAGAAAATAATAAGCAACGTTTATTGAAGAAAAATTCAACGATATTGAGAAAATTACCTGACCTTCTTTGTCATTGATAATTATATTGACAAAATTTGATATAGAATCAACGATATTGAGAAAAGAAAAAAGTGCAAGGCCTTTGAGCTTGTTTTTAATTTCCTCATAAACATACGAACAAAAAGAAAGAAAAAAATGAGTGCAAATAAAACATTCTGAAATACGATTTTCTTTGATCATATTCACATCCTTCATTTTAAGAACTTACCTCTGAAAATGCCAATCTATCCGCAACATCATTTGTGCACTCAAAAAGCCTTATTACCTGAAAGCAAAAGGCACTTTTAAAAACCCTAGACCTTGGTATAATGAGGGTGAGGCACAGTAGGAGCTGGCCTTAAGTTCAGTTGCAGAGTAAAAAAACTAGAGGACGAAAGAACAATGAAGGGCCTCTGGTGATAAAAATTCTTGCTCACCTCTTGGGTTGTCCAAGCGCAAGCGCCAGCAAATGTGAGAAGCTTCCCATTGACATTCCCATTTCTTAAACCTATAAGGGTCAGAGGAGCCACATCCTAATACCAAAAATAAAAACTGTTCAGATACCATAACGAGAGGTAAACAAAGAGAAAGTAGCTCTAAAATCAACCAGGGAAACAGTCAATGCATGATTAAACTGGGTGTCCATGTATGTAATTCTTGTGGGGGCATCTGTTCCCCATACTGATTTCTCTTCTAATATAGGCACTGCAATACTGCATACCGTCCAATAATTCCCTGAGAATAAAACGTAAAGATAAGCCCTTTCACTTAGTAGCTAGTACAAACATCAAAATAGATATTCCATCTCACAACGAAACACAAGAAACTGTAATGAGAGAAGGATATCTAGCATACATAATTATTGATTGTTTTATGAAATCATGTCCTTGGAAAGATTCCTTTCCAAACATATGATCATTCTCCACGCAGATGCATACCTCTTCAGGGTGTGTGTGCTTAGATGCATGCCTGTGTTTTGAATGATTTTTATACGTGCAACTTCTTATAACTCTGTCTGGTTTAATTGTTGTTTCTGATAAAGAAAGTAAATGGGGGTTGGAGGAGTGCTATATGAGAATAAGAATAATAAGAAGATACGGAAACTAATTTGAAACATCAAGCTGACAGTGAAGCACAAATCTGGATATGCAAGCAACAATATAGTAAGAGAGGAAGTTTAAGTTTAAGTTTAAGTTTAAGTTTAAGTGAAACCTATTTTTTATTTGAACAAGGAATAACATAAAGCCCGAATACTGTAAAGCAAGCAGGAAGCTAAAATTAGACAACGAACAAACAGTAGCACTCCAATCTCTTATAAAATTCATAAAAATTTATAAGAGTTAGTGAATTGGAATTACATTGACAACAGTAGCATGCCAATCTCTTAGAAAATCGGCAAGGGTTGGTCTCGGCCTAACCAAGCACCTAACATATCCCTCATCAACTGCTCTCCTCACAATCTGCCTCCCCAGAGTCTCGGTGGCGCCGACAACCAGTATGCTGGAGGGTCTGACGGGTGTCCCCCGAGCAAGATTCACAGCCCCAGCTCCCGCCCTGGCCGTACATTTCATGAAACGCCACGTATTGGTCCCTGCACACACAAATCAAAAATTGAAAATTCAGTTCTTTTCAAATTTGAAGATAAATAATGGGTTCTTTTCAAGTTTGTAAACAAAAATATGGGTTTTTTTTGCGATTTGTGAATAAAAGTGGCAAAAATGAAAGCTTTCCTGTTGAAGGGAGGAGACGAATGAGTGGCGGTAGAGGTGGAAGGAGATGACGAAGGAAGGAGATGGTCTGGAGCTAAAGTCCGACACCATGAGAGTGAGGCTTGGAACGATGGCGTTTCGGAGTCACGGTGATGGAGGGTAGGAAGCCTCCGAGCCATTGCCATTTTCAAAGCTTTCTCTGTGTTGCCACGTCATTCTCCAAAGTGGACAGATTTTCTGCCACTTGTCGCTGCTCATTTCTGTCATACGACCAGACCCGACCCTGGCATATTCAAGGTCACTCTGGGCCGATTTCCAAACGAAGCCCAATTAGTCGAGACAAAGGAAGGATGTGAAAAATTGAGAAAAACGAGTCTTTGCAAGAGTTGAGTTGATTTGATCAAATTTAAATTCCTTGCATTGCAAATGGTTGTCCATTGAGCAAGTTGAATCGTTATTAAGCATTAATAATTGGAAAGGTATTTGCACCGGTGGCATTGGAAAGACCACCATACACGGTCATATATAATTAAACATAAATCGCATACATGTGGGTGTGGGTGGCGTTATGTTTATGGATTTTATTAAATATAGGAATCCCAAAAGCATGAGTTTTCTATTGAGAAACATATTTTCATTTACTCAATCTTATAAGATTACAATCTAAAGGTATATATATACTTGTGTAGACTAACTAACTCATAACAAATAACAACTTTCCTTAACCTCTAAGTATTATCCCTTGATAGTGTATTTACAATATTATCCTTAATATCCCCCCTCAAACGAAACTTGGGAACCCGAAGTTGCAGTTTGTCCCGGAGAAACAAAAACCGTGCTGCAGCTAAAGATTTTGTACAGATATCTGCCACTTGGTCTTGGGAGCAGATGTAGTGAAGGGAGATGTGCTTGGCAACTACTTTTTCACGGATGTAATGATAATCAAGCTCAACATGCTTGGTCCGAGCATGAAAAACAGGATTCTTGGCAAGGGAAATAGCAGAGACGTTATCACACCAAAGCTGAGGAGAACAAGGCAGACAATAGCCAATGTCAGCAAGTAATTGACAAATCCAAGTGATCTCAGAGGCAGTGTTGGCAAGGGAGCGATACTCTGCCTCGGTAGAGGAACGAGCAACAGTGGGTTGCTTTTTAGCACTCCAACTAATGAGAGAATTACCCAGAAAAATGCAGTAACCACCAGTGGATCTCCTATCTAACTCACAACCAGCCCAGTCAGCATCGGAAAAGGCCTTGAGGGAGGGAACAGAGGAGCACTTCGAGAACCAGAGACCGTGATCAATGGTGCCCTTAAGATACCGGAGGATACGCTTGACAGCTTGGAAGTGAGAGACTTTGGGAGTGTGCATGAATTGGCAAACAAGGTTGACAGCGAAACTAAGATCCGGCCTTGTCCAGGTTAGGTACTGAAGAGCACCAACCAATGACCTGTACGCAGAAGCATTATCAAGAAGAGGAGAAGCATGATCAATCTTAGAGGTGCTCAGTGGTGTGTTGCAGGGTTTTGCACCAACCATGTTGGCTTTGTGAAGCAAATTCAGAATATATTTAGTTTGGGATAGAAAAATGCCAGTAGAAGAGCGCTTGACCTCAAGACCGAGAAAATAGTGTAAAGGACCAAGATCCTTAATAGGAAACAAACTGCTGAGCTGAGTGATCACATGTTGACAAGCAACAGAAGAGGGCCCTGTAACCAGAATGTCGTCCACATACACAAGAACAAAGACCAAGGCTTTGTCCTTTTTGACAAACAGAGAGTGGTCACTTTGAGAACCAACAAATCCAAGAGAAGCAAGGGCAGCATGGAGTTTATCATACCAAGCTCGGGGAGCTTGTTTCAGACCATATAGTGATTTATGAAGCTGGCACACATGATGGGGCTTGGTAGAGTCTGCAAAGCCGGGTGGTTGTTGCATAAACACATATTCAGAAAGAGTGCCATGTAAGAATGCATTACTGACATCAAGTTGGTGCAGAAACCAATCAAATTGAGCAACAAGGGTGAGTAAGAGGCGAATTGTCACAGGTTTAGCCACAGGGCTAAACGTTTCAGTGTAATCAAGACCTTCCTGTTGGTGAAAGCCCTTAGCAACCAACCGAGCCTTGTAGCGATCGATGGAGCCATCGGGTTTTCGTTTGATACGAAACACCCATTTGCAGCCTACTATATTCTGGGAAGAGTGATATGGAACCAGGGACCAGGTTTGAGTATGAAGCAGAGCATTGAATTCCTCCTGCATTGCTTGGCGCCAATGAGGGTGTTTAGAGGCCTGGAGATAGGTGGTAGGAATATAATCCAGAGACAAATGAGAGGGAAGAGGATGATTTGTGGCAGTAAAGGCTTTAGGTTTATAAATGCCTGACTTAGAACGAGTTTGCATAGGGTGAGTATTGAGGGAGGAAGATGGTAGTGGTGGTGGTGCAGGGGAAGGAGAGGAGGATGATGGTCCAGAGGGTGATGAGGATGGCGGTGGTGCAGGGGGAGAAGGGAAGGATGATGAGCCAGAGAAAGAGGATGGGGAGGAGGAAGGAGGAAGAGAAGTAAAGGTTAAGGAAGATGGAATAGCAGAGGAAGAACTTGCAGGTTGGAATGGGGAAGGAGAAGAGGAAGAAGAAAGTTTAGAAAATGGAAACTTACTTTCATCAAAGAGAACATGCCGGGAGATATAAATGCGTCCTGTTGATGGATCAAGGCATTTGTACCCCTTATGATTAAGACTGTAACCCAAGAAAACACAGGGCTTGCTCTTAGCATCCAACTTAGAAGAAGCATACGGCTTTAACCACGGAAAGCAGAGGCAACCAAAAACTCTGAGGGTACCATAACAAGGGAATGTCTTGAAAAGAGACTCCCATGGTGAGGGCCGAGAGAGAGTAGGTAACCTGTTGATGAGATAGATTGCAGCTGCAAAAACATCAACCCAATATAAGTGAGGAACTTTAGATGCTGCAAAAAGAGTCCGGGCAGTTTCCACAATATGCCTGTGTTTGCGTTCAGCACATCCATTTTGCTCGGGTGTGTGAGGACAAGATAACTGATGCTGGATGCCATGTTGTGCCAAAAAATTAGAGAAAAGAGTACTCATGTATTCACCACCAGAATCAGATCGCAAGGTAATAATTTTGGTGCACAGAGTATTTTCAACCAAAGATTTATATTTCATGAAGACTGAAAGTACATCAGATTTGTATCTCAGAGGGAAGAACCAACAGTAACGAGTAAAATCGTCCACAAAAATGACATAATACCGGAAACCATCCTGAGAAGCTATAGGTGAGGGTCCCCAAACATCGGTATGAATGAGTTCTAACGGTTTCGTGGTAGTACATGTAGTGGATACAAATGGTAACCTAGAACACTTTCCTAATGCATAGGCTGAGCAAAAAGAAGAGGTCTTTTGTTGGAACACAGAGATACAGGACTTAGAGGCAAGCTTATTTAAAATCTTGACTGAATGATGGCCCAACCGTCCATGCCACAGAGTCCGGGAAGCTTTTGGAGTAGCAGTAAGAGCTGAATGCTTGACACCAGTGTGAGAGGAAGGATAAAACGGATAGAAGCCATGCTGAACAGGACTTTTAAAACGCATCCTCCCCGAAGAAAGATCTTTCACAGTAAAGTGAGAGGGATAAAGATGCATAGAGCATTGATTATCAATAAGAAATTGATTTGCAGATAGGAGATTATGCTTCAGATCAGGCACAAATAAACATTTTTGAGTGCAAAATTACTATGTGAAGTGGTAATGGAAGAAGAGCCAGTGTGAGTGATAGGCAAACCTTTGCCATCACCGATATACACTTGTTCAGGCCCTGTGTAGACTTCAGGATTCTGGATAGTGGCATAGTTATTGGTCATATGAGAGGTAGCGCCAGAGTCGACAATCCATGGAGAGGAGGAGGTGGAGGTGTTGGCAACCAACGCAGTTTGGGATGACTTGCCAGTATAGTGAGGGTCCATGTGATGAGGACAGTCACAAGCCTCATGGTCAAATTGACGACATATTTGACAAGAAAGCTTCCTGTTGGATGAAAAATTGGACCGAGGGCCTCGATTGAAACGCTGATCGTTGCCTCGAGTGAAATTGGAGAATCGCGGATTGTTATTCTGCCTGAAATTGCCACGAGATTGATGATTGCCTCGAGTAAAGTTGCGATCCAGTCCACGGTTTTGATTAGGAGAGGAGAACGACTGCTGAGCAACATAGCCGTGAGAGATAGAAGGAACAGGCAGAGGAAGAATACCAGTGGAGGTGTTGTAGGCCTGAAATGAAGGCACCGGTGGACTTTGCTTGCGATTTGTCAATTGGATCTCTTTGCTAAGAAGCAAACCATGGAGTTCATCCATGGTAATTGAACCAAGACGAAATTGAATGGCATCCACAAACGAGTCAAATTCAGGAGGTAAACCATGTAAAATGACAGAAATCAGCTCTGAATCTTCAACTGGAGCACCAGCACTAGCAAGAGCATCAGCAATCTCCTCAGTGCGTTGAAGATATTGAGCGGCTGTGAGATCGCCTTTGGTGAGACTGCGAAGGTGAGATCGAAGTTCGTGGATGTGAGAATGCGAGGCAGCAGCAAGACGAGACTCCAATTTGGCCCATAGTTCTCGAGCCGAGGAAACGCCAACAGTATAAGGAATTAGGGATTCCGAGAGAGTCGAATTGAGCCAGATGAGAATATTCTGATCATTCTCAAACCAAGAAACATACGCCGGATTAAGACTGCGATTGCCGGAGGAGTCGATGAGAAATTGAGGCGGCGCCGGCCAAGAACCATCAATCAAACCGGTGAGGTTGTAGCGACGAAAAATTGGAGCAAAGAGAGCACTCCATGTCAGGTAATTGGTAGTGGTAAGCTTGATCGGAATCATAGATCCAATGTTCTGTATGGTAATTGAGGTAGAATTCAAGGAATTAGGGTTTGAAGCTTCCGACGGGGGAAGAATTGGAGAATCCGATGCCGTAGAGGAAGAGACGGCAGGAGCCATGAGCAGAGATGCAGAGAAGAAAAGCAAGCGAAGAAAATCAAGAACAACAAGATCGGAGATCAAGCTCAACAAGATCTGAGATCAAGATCGGAGTAGCAGAGAAGCGGGAAGATTTGGGATCGAAGAGAGAAGTCGGTAGACAAGGGCGAGTGATACCATATTGAGAAACATATTTTCATTTACTCAATCTTATAAGATTACAATCT